AAAAAAGCATACCAAAATTTGATGCACAAGTAACCTCCAACCTCACTAATCAACAACCAACTAATAAAAATAAAATAGTCTACACGTCCAACATCATCAAGCTACACAACATTATGACATCATCGAATAAGTTGTTTTTGTTGTGAATAATTATTCGATGGTATTAATCACCAACCAGGCAACCGTCATCACTACGATCGAATAGTTATATACTTATATCAGAGTCGTGCCAAGACATTTTGCTGCCCTAAACGAAATATAATATTATGTTTAATTAAAATGTTTTTGATGGAATAATATAAGAAGTAATCAGATATTTTTTGTTTTTGAAATAACATTTTGGTAGAAAGTATGCCCTTTTTATCATAGTTATATGTTTAATTCATAAATATTTAAATGCAAAAAATGAAATATAAAAAATCTGTATACATAATCTTCTTTTTATTTTTGTAAATATACAAATTAATAAGAAAATAAAATAAGTAATAATAGATCAACTGAAGCATATAAACTGAAGAAAAAATATTATTAGAAAATAAAAGAAGATGAGAATATGGATAAATTCAAAAAGTAAAGAAAATGATATAGTTATAATTAACATCTTAGTTGTAATTGTAGAAACTAAGGAAATAAAATATTGTAAATGATTTAGTAGTGCTAGTTGAGAAGCAATCAAAAATGTTTTGTATGGAGTATAAATATGTTCCATCATGACAATATATATATATATATGCCCCATAAATTTTCACAAAATGTTGTTGCCCTAAGCGAAAGTTTCATATTTGCTTCAGTAGGCACGGCTCTGACTTATATGATCATTAACCATTATTGCTATACAGAAATTAATAGGAATCTATATATATAATTTATTAGTTTTAAGTACAATCAGGATATTAGTGAATAAAATTAGCTTATTTAGATGTTAAAATATTAAAAATTTAATCAGTATTATATATATATATATATATATATATAAAACTTACAAAAAGTAATAAAATAAATAGTGTAAGTTGTTGAAAATTAATGTTACATATAACTGAGAATATTTTTTTTTTAAATTACATTAAACTTGGTTTAAGGGCAAAATAAGTATATATTTTATAAGTATTGTGAATACAAAATGTAAGATTATTGTATTGAATTAAATCTGATTTTTTTAGAAAATACTAAAATAAAAAGGTCAACCATAATTTTAATATTGATATGGAACTAAATATTTTATATGATTCTGTTTGTTTTGATGTAAAAAAAAAAGGAACTAAATATTTATAGTCTTGCATAATCCAACAAAATACATAATGTACAATAACTTTAGTCTGTTTGTTTAATGACAAAAAAAAACTTTGACAAGATAAGAATATGTTTTAAATATTGTAAATACAAAATGTAAGATTATTGTATTGAATTAAATGTGATTTTATAGAAATTACTAAAATAAAAAGGTCAACCATAATTTTAATATTGATATGGAACTAAATATTTATAGACTTGCATAATAAAACAAAAGACATATGCTACAATAAATTTATATGAGTCTGTTTGTTTGATGACAAAAAAAAATAAGAAAAATGAAACTAGATAAGTTATACTAAAACAAATATATTACAAAATCTATATCGATATAATAAAAATAGAACACAACTTCATTAATAATTACAACAGTTGTCTTAGAAAATTTAGTTAATTCCAATGAAACCAACTTTGAATCTTTTACACCATACGAGTTCAATTGAAAAAAGTGATAAAAATTTTAAAAAGAAATGAAAAAATAGTATTTCATACATAATTAAAATAAAATCATTTAGATTAAAAACAAATATGAAAAATATATATATCATATAACAAATTCCTGCGTGAAGAAGCGTGGACTTACGAACACTTTTGCGGTTTCAATTCTTCTAGCAAACTAACCATGATATTCAACATACTCACCATAATGAACCAGTAATATTTGTTTCCTTTTGTTTTGTAACATTTGTACAAGAAAATTATTTATCCAAATATTGTATATATAAGTCATATATCTTTTATATACAAAGTCATCGTTTCCTTTTCTTATATATACGAGAGTTTTTTCCGGGCTACGCCCGGATTTTTACATATATTTTAATTTTAATTTCGATTATTTTATATTTTGTATTTGAATATATATTTTTACATTTAAACTACTTACGCTATTTAAATTATTAGACAAATTTATAGTTTCTATTGTTTTTAGTGACTACAATTTTGAAATTATTAAATTCAATATCATAATATACATAGAAGCTGGTTAGCATGTTGAATATTTTTTTACTAAATCCTATTTAAAATTAAACTATTCATTTGTCTCGTTTATTTGAGTTTTATGGAAATATGGCTACATTAATGTATAGTTCAAACTTTGTTTTAACGTTAAAATTTAAGTACTGGTTATCAATTTTTTGGTTATAATAATGTATTATTATTTTTTATGGGTTTAAGAAGTGGAAAAAATAAATCTAAGAGTATATACATTAAGAAAATCATGAAATCACGTTAAATACTTTTATTTCTATGCAGCTTAACAAATTCAAAATAAAATATCAAAAATAATAATATTCTCTAAAATCTATTCGTATTTATTTCCTTAAGAAAATCTAAAGAATTGATGATTTAAAAAAAACTTGATAATTTATTCTTAATCTAGCTAATCAAACATAATATCTTTGGGTTAGACAAAAATGATTATTCTCCTAGTTCAAGCTCCTGTTCATTTTCACGATTAGAACATTTTTCACATACTTTTCCACTTCAACTTAGCCAGCTAAAATCAATTTCTTTAACATGAGGGCTTCCACATTAAAAAAAAAACAAAAAAAAAAACAACAAATTGTTCTTTTTCTCTTTTGTTATTGAACTTTGTATTTGAAATTTTTTGTTTTACCTATACTTACCATTCTTAATATTTTAAAATAATGTTGCATTTATTTAAGTTATTGTCAATAATTTTCATTATTGTGATATTTCTTATTAAGAAAGATATGTTTGCATCATACATTTTGTCTAAGTTATATCTTGTAATTTCTAATATTAAATTCAAAACCGGTTTTAGGTAAATCCGGACAAAACATTGATTTTACAATTACTTTGTAAAAAACATTGATTTGCAATACCCATTATATAAATCATGACTTGCAAAATTGTCAAAAAGATATGATTAAAATTAGCTTTAAAATATTTATGACTTCATAAAATATGGTCCTCAGATTAAAATGATTAATATATTCCAAATTTATCTGTCTAATTGAAACAAAAATAATTTTAATTCAAATATATTTTGAAAAAAAAAATATAACAAAAATACGTAAATTACGAAAATGAAAAATATATTTTATACTAAGTTCCAAGATAAATATTTAAAATCTATACTAATATTGTTTGCAAAATAAATATTTTATTTTGCTATAATAAATAAAACACATAAAAGTTAAAAAAAAAATAACACTTACACACTTTTAAGTATTTAGGTCCAATAATCATCAAATTTTAAATCATTTTAAAATGCGAAAATAATAATTTATTTATAGAAAAGGAAACTATTATTAATTATTAAATGATACAAACATAAAATATATTAATAATATACTTATATCTAATATATGAGATAAATAAGACTATTAGAAACAAAAGTAAAGTTATACACATAATTAAAATATAATAACATAATTCATACATTTATAAATTATAAAATTTAAAGTTCATAATTTACGAAAACATTCACACTAATCGTAAAGGAATGATATCATATTTCCAATCGTATTATATAATTGATCTTATGTAAAACGATGATAGAAAATGAAAAAAAAGTAGGGTTTATATAACGAAAATACGTAATTTACGAAAACATTCACACTAATCGTTGTTACATGGAGAGGTTGGCTCCTCCTACGAGAGCCGGTCCTGACTTTTTGGTGGCTAGAAGCGAAGAAAAAAAAAGGCTGGTTCATAATTTTTTCTACTAATCGTTTTTGAATTTAAAAAAATAAGTGTTAAACAAAACGGCTCTATATTAGTTACTATGAACAAACACACATATACTATCACGAGAAGATAAAATATGTTTAAAATATGATAGTAACCAATTATGTTGCAGAATAATGGAATTACCATTTGATCAAGAAGAAGAGAAGATAATTGGTTTCTAGTTACAAAAATAGAAAAGAATAAACAAGGGATTCAAGTAATATGAATTAGAATGATGATATCAATTGAGGAGAGGTTTAGACTTGAACTTCAGACAATAGCAAAAAAACAAGATGTAACTAGTTTAAGTTAACCATATTTTATATATATTTGGCGGCCGCAAGCGAGTGCTTGATGGGCTTGGTCCAAGGGCCACCTCTGCCTCCTACCAATAATAAAAGAGAAAAATGGACCGACCAAAATCAATATCTTTATCAGTGCTTGTCCAAATCACAAAGTATTCAAAATATTTCAAGTCTGAACAAAATTCACGTAAAGTTATAAACAAAATTCTCGCAAAATATTGGCACAAAACCCACCAAATTCGGTCCTGAACTCAGGTTTTTTCTGATTGTTTCTCTTGATTTTTGTGGGCCCTCCAGGTTCAGAAACCCCTTGAGAACCTGGAGTAATGGTGCTCTAAAGACACTAAGACAGAACCCCATACGTATCCTTAGCCTACTACCAATGAAAAAACAAAAAAGAATCTTACGTTTTTTTTCTTCTTCTTAGTGATGTAAACAAACAATAGCTTTGTCTTCAGGCAAAGCAAGACTTCAGAAGATGGTTTAGAGGAAGACTTGTCAAGAAACCGAGTCTTATAATCTCCAACCTGAAACTCGGTTTGGTCAAGAACATCTGAAGAGCCTTGGACCAGAGATGATGATGATGAAGAAGCGAACCAAACCTAAAAGAAAGGTTATAGACAGTCCTGTTTCTCAACCAGGTAAGCCCCAATCAACACCAAAGAAACATGATCTTGTTGTTGTTAAAGGGACAGGTATGTCACCTAACTCATGAAGGGAACCTCTAGCTCTGAGGCAAGGAAGGAGAACAAGAGTAGACTAAATCTTACAAAGAACCAGAAGAACAAAACCGGTCTGAAACATGATTCTCGTCATGGAGTTAACAACAAGCCGAGTTCGAGGATCGTTAGGGGTTTGACAAAGGCTCCAAGATTCAAGAGATGCGCACAAAGAGCTACTTGTTCCTCTACTCTTAAGGATTCAAATCTTCCAGATTATCTGATGCTTCATCATGGTGGAACTGATGATCAAGTTAGTGGAACTTCTGTCCTGAAAGTATGTCCTTACACGTATTCTTCACTCAACGGCCATCTTCACAAGAAGTATCCTCCTCTGAAAAGCTTAAACGACGGTTGAGAATAAGAAACGACGAAGAAGAACACAAAAAGGGAGAGGGGAGGGATTCATCGCCCATTCATCTTTTAGAGTTTCTCCTTTGATGGGTCAGACAATCAAACCAAACGGACTGGAAAAAAAGAGCCCAACATTACCCAAATTGGATGTGACGTGGCAAAAACCTGGCTTTCTACTGGCTGTTTTTTTTAGTTGACGTGGACACACTCAGAATCTTTTATATTCTGCTTTTAGTATTGTTAGATACTCCTTCTGTTTCATAATAAGTGTCGTTTTAGACTTCGGTACACGAATTAAGGAAACAATAAATTTTCATATTTTCTATATAAAAACACAATTACCTATACACCTAACCTTATTTCAACCAATAGAAAAATAAATTACAGAATAGATTAATAAATTTTGTATTGAAAACCGAAAACGACACTTAATTTGTAACGAAATTTTTTTCTAAAACGACATTTAATATGAAACGGATGGAGTATATATTATTAGGGTTCAGCTTTTTCTTAAGAAGTATTACACGGTGAAAAGATTACTAGAACAAGTCAACTCAAACAACATTTCACGTAAGCTTATACGGGGAATTATATTTTTTCTTGTACTGAAGGGAATTGCAATGTTTTTTTAACTTAGGCTTGGAAATGTAATGTTCAAAAGCAAAATTGTACAAAATACAAACTCTTATCCCAAAGACAGATACATAACACGAGCAACGAGAAGTAGATGTTCCCAGCCGCGATCTAAACTTCCCTTTGGTGTTGGATCTATAGGACAGATCAGAATAACTCGTTGTTATCTGGTGGGGTTTCTGGTTTCACATTCAACATACGCTCTTTGTCGTTCCTTAATAGCACATGATATTTACATTAACTGGTGGTTTACGATTCCAGTGTTAAGACGCTACTCGCTCTTATGTGAAAGATCAATCATTGGCCTTTTGCTCTTGATTCGCAAGATCATTCATCGGATCTTCCTTTGGGGACCGATATGGGATCGTATGATAGATCGAGGTCTGCTCATATGAAGGATATAAAGGGCAAAGGGATCCTCTATGAGGATGATGATGAGCCCATAAAACTTACAGAACAAGATGAGGCATTTGTAATAAAAGAATACCGGATGTCACTGATTGGGAAGATACTCAATCCTAAGAAAAAAAACGTTGAAAAGCTCATTCAGAAAATGCCAACGCAGTGGGGTATTGAGGAGCGAATTACGGCAAATGACCTAGGGAATGGAAAGTTCTTACTGAACTTTCAGTCTGAAGAAGATTTAAACTTTGTGCTCAGGCAGGGTCCGTTTCATTTTAATTACTGCATGTTCGTATTGGTGCGATGGGAGCCAATAGTTCATGATGATTACCCTTGGATTATTCCTTTTTGGGTTACTTTTATTGGGATGCCTCTACACGTGTGGCCAGACAGAAATTTAAGAAACATTGGAGGCTGCCTCGGTCATGTTGACGCAGTGGATCTCTCGGAAGGACGCTTGTTGATTGACATTGACTCAAGGAAGCCATTGAAGTTTAAAAGGAAATTTTAAAGTCCAGACGGAGAAGAAGTCACTATCGAATTCAAATATGGCCTGCTTTTCAAGCATTGCACCATATGCGGCCTTATGATGCATGAGAAAGGGTACTGCCCTTCAATAGAACCTACAACTGGAGCAGGATCGACTAGAGGAGGTGTATTCTCGCGTGTTCAAGTCCCTCATGACTTTTCGGCCACACATTCGTTGGCAGGTATAAAACAGGAGATCAACAAGGGGGAGAGGAGAATGGAACAAGACGATGGTCATCATACTGCAATAACACGTTCTGATCAATACCGCAACCGATTTAATGACATAAGGAATCGACTTCAGGATTCACGCAATGGATATGGAAGGAAGGACCCTGATGGGAAGGCCTACCAATCACGGCATACACACGAGCATAACCATGGTAGACGTTATGGTAACCATGTCAAGGAGTGGGATGGAGACTTAAGAACGACAAGAAATAGAGACTCACGGTTTAAGCCTTACGCTCGTGAAAACAAGACTTGGAGGGCAAAAAGAGAAGTGGGGACAGAACGGTACTCGAGGAAAAATGAAGATGACGCTGCTCATGCTATTGTTCCTTATGAACAAGCATCAGATAACAAGTCAAGGATGCATACCGAGGAATCTTCTCATCGTCATAAAGCTGGTACCGAGCACAAGCGTCTTGCGAGCTCTATTGTTTCACTGGCTCTACGTAGCATGGAGGAGAACGTCACCATCCGAACAAAAAATATTGCACGTTCTCTCACTTTCTCCCCACAACTATCTACATCTGCCTAGGAGATAATCTAGTTCTTGATGCGCTTCAAGATATGGAGATCCAGAATGGGGACGGTGACAACTTGATGGGATGTGATGATCTCTTTGACGAGGAGCTATTGGAATTGAAGGTGGAAGCAAAGCAGGCTACAAAGGGCGAGGAAGCCAAGGCCTAGTAGAAGAGGGAATCCTCTGGGGATTCAAACCAATAAAGACAGAGTTCCTCCGTAGGGGATCGCCACACATTCGATCAGCCAAGTCTTCTGCTCATACGCAAGAAGGCAAAGACATGCCAAGGCAATCTCGCAACAGTTCTAAGAAAGTAAGGGATGTAGATGACAAAGAGGATGGTTCGATGGGATCCAAAAACCCATCCCCCTTCATCCATGAAGACAATCAGTTGGAACTGTCGAGGGTAGGAAATAACCTCACAGTTCGACGTCTTACAGAGATGTGTCAGAAGCATCACCCAGGACTTGTGTTTCTTTTTGAGACGAAGAATAGGAGGCTTCTGTTGCAAGACATTCAGGCCAACTTAGGATATGATCGTTTGTTTACCGTTGAGCCACTTGGTCTCAGCGGAGGTTTAGCACTTTTTTATATGGATGATTTTCAAGTTAATGTTTTATTTTCAAATACAGAATGATTGACATTGAGGCAGTCATTGATGGAATAAAAGTCTATATGACATTTGTTTATGGGGATCTTGTATTTGAAAGAAGAGATTTAGTCCGGGAACGCTTTACGCGTTTCTCAACAACTAGAAATGGACCTTGGTTTATGATAGGTGACTTTAATGAAATAACCTGTCACAAAGAAAAGGAAGGAGTCAGACAACGCTCGGATAGTTCATTTCTACTCTTTAAGCAAATGCTGAGTGATTGTGGTATGCTGGATTTTCCTTTCACAGGGAACATGCTTTCCTAGGTAGGAAGAAGAGCAGGAAATACTACCGTTAGTTGTCGCCTTGATAGGGCTGTTGATAATGAGAACTGGCATGAGAGTTTCCCGCATTCCAAAGTTCAATATATGAGGCTTTGGGGTTCGGATCGTCGTCCGATCTTAGCTGATATTCTTAAAAGGAAGCCGAGAAGAGCAAAACACTACAACAAATATGTGTATTAGTAGCACCAGAATAACGCTATCATATCGTTTTTATAGCGTTTCGAAGAAGGCCGTGACAGCCGCAGCTATAATAGACCCCCCTACCGTAGCGTTTTTCGCGAGCTGTAACAATGTAGAGATATTATAGCATTTCTTTTTTGTTATTTTAAACTTATTTATAGCAGGTGATTTTCGCTATTTTAAATTTTTCTGTGGCACTTTCTGTGTGCCGTAAAATATTTTCTTATGACTATGTTTTTTTGTCATGGAATACTTTTTTGTAACTCAATATCTTCTGGATTTCTGGACCTTTAATAGCAAATTGTGTATGCAATTGAAAATTATAATACAGCGTTTTTCTCGTGCTAGGAAGTTTATATTCATAGCTAGCACTGAATATACGATTTTTTCTATATTGACACATTTGTCGGTTTGATTTACTGAATTTATTTTTATTTTTTTGGGTTATAGACAGGGGCGAAGCCAGAGTCTTCTTTTAGTGGGTGCACAGTATTTAATATAAACCAAAAATAATGCTAAAACTTGAAACAGTGGAGCATCGAAACCGGGTCCCTTGAAAGCTATGGGTGCAACATAGCCGATATTCCAATGAGCACTCACATGTTCATTGTAAAAAACTTTAGTTTCTAAATGATTAAGGGTGCACGTGCACCCATACCTCTCAACGTGGCTTCGCCCCTGGTTATAGATATGGAAAATATTGTAAAAAGGAGAAATCAAAATTAGCTCTTTTAGTAATTGTAACCAAAGTAGAAATATGAAAAAAGCATTATAATGTGCTGACAATTGATTCATCATATGGCAAAGAAACACATACATAAACAACATACATAAACAACAATTAGTAATGACGGCCAGACTTGGTTCGTGAGGACTGTCCTTGTGCTTGTTGTCGGTGTCTCATAAGAGACGAGTTTCTGAACATTGGGTCGATGTCTTCTTCAGGTTCCTCAATGCGGGTCAAATAGCGAAGAGAGTGTCTGAACTCTGCTCTGGTTATCTCCTCCACATCATTCCCGCCCCTGAACTCTGCTGCGGTTATCTCCTCCACATCATTCCCGCCCGAGGACTGTTCTCGTTGTTGTCCTCGTTGTGGTTTTTGTTTTTGGAGTAGTTGTGGTCTCACTCCAGATGCCGGCAGTACACATACGATGATCGTCCTTCCTTCCATTAGAGTTTCTAGACTGTAAAGTTAACACAAGTTAGAACTTTAATTGATATTTGATTATGAATATCTAAACTTAAAATGAAAACTTAACAGTAGTTAGATCTATGTGGTTACAATACACATATATTTGAAGAAGAAATAATTAATCGAAGATGACATTTGAAGAAGAATAAATGGAAATCGAATATCNCCTTCCTTCCATTAGAGTTTCTAGACTGTAAAGTTAACACAAGTTAGAACTTTAATTGATATTTGATTATGAATATCTAAACTTAAAATGAAAACTTAACAGTAGTTAGATCTATGTGGTTACAATACACATATATTTGAAGAAGAAATAATTAATCGAAGATGACATTTGAAGAAGAATAAATGGAAATCGAATATCTCTGACCTTTGAAGAAGTTCCAAACCCAGATATGTAAGGCTTCGAATCTTTAAGGATCTGTTAAGAGTTGTTACCTTTTTAATTAGAGTTGATATTGATGAGTTCGATGGAAACCCAGAGAGAGAAATCGAGGTTGCTTAAATCATGGTTGTTTGAGATGGAATCGATGTGTAGACAGTGATTAGTGGTGGGTCGACGTGGGCTCGTGGTGGCACAGAGAGAATTTCGGTTGTTTGAGATAACTCTGTAACCTAGTTTGCGGTGGGGGTACTTTCTGAGAGAGAACGAAGGAGATAAAAGAGAAAAACAATTGTGAACCGTTAGATTTACATTAACGAACGAACAAGATTAGGATCCTTGCCTTAAAATAATCAACCAATAGGAAGAGAGGATGAGGATAGATGGATGGTGGATGGTGGATTGTGGACCTTTGATCTTATATCAGATCGATGGCTATTAAAAGAAGAAGAGAAATTATGTTTCTGGGTATTTAAAATTATTTTAAAAATTAGTAAAAATTAGTAAAAATATATAGTCATGAATTTAAAATATAAAACTAATTTTAGCATCAATTTCTCAACATATAAACCACAAAACACTTTAACTACACCAATATACCCTAACCCTGAAACTCAACTCTACATATGCTAACCCTTTCACAACAAAGATAATGTGGAAAGGGGAACTACATCATATGTTTTGTGATTAACATATAATTTTGTCTTAGTGTGTGTTATAGTATATTTAAAAAGACCTCAAAACTATAAGTAGAATAAACCTTATAAGAAATCTGTAAACCTAATCACTAAAAAACATGAGAATCCTAACCCCTAAACTTAAACCCTAAACTAAAAATAGTGATTTCCTAGCTGAAACAACATATGGACATTTAGTTTATTGGGCCGTTGTAAAATTGAAATGATAAAATGGATCAAACACAATATCATAAAGTCTTAATTTAGCTAAATCATCCAAACCATACATAGATTAATTTATCCAACCGGTACATGAAAAAGAGAAACACCGAGTCATTGAAATACAAAAGCCATGTTCTGAAACAGCAAACACCAAGTCATTTATGAGAACAAGAACTTAACTAAACAGGAAACACCAAGTCACGATGCTCCTTTTCGTCTTTTGTCAAACCTGTAAAGAAAGACATATAACCTTAGTTTCACATTTTCATACTGATGCAAGAGAACATGTGAGAAAGAACGCAAAATAAACACAACACTCACCGTTATAATTTTATCCTCTGGCCAAGCAAGACAGCTGCCAAGTGCATCTTCCATATACTCGATCTCCGATGAAGTCCTCCACACAGCTGCATCTTTCACCTTCACAACATCCACAACGACTCTACAAGCACCAAGCCCCAATGCCTGAAAGTGGACAAGATGCTCAGGATTACTCGAAGACCAACGTCCTTCAGCGACAACCACATTGTTTCCAGACAGATCCAGCAGCTGTATTTTTTTATTTGGCTTGAATTTGTTACGCTGGAATCACACAAAGCAAAATCGAAGCCAAAATTCAAGCATCATCCCATAACAAATCAACTAATTGAAGAAAAGAAAGTACCTCAGATCTGTGAAGAGGAGATGCTGGAGTAAATCGTTTCTTAGGAGCTGGTGGAGTTAATGGAGACTTCTGATTCTTAGAAGATGAACTCACTGCTTTAGAATCTGATTGTTGATGACGAGGAGAATCTGTTATATCTGACTCAAACACAACGCAATTTGCATGCCATGCTACATAACAGTTCATAAAATCCTCCATAGTTGACTTTCCTATTGTAGGCCTCCATATGTATGTCGTTGGGTTTAGTACCTCATCAACATACACTTTTACTGCATTAGGACCAAGAGGAAGTCCATTGACCATTGATTTTGGTTCTTTTGTCTCCCATCGGCCTACAACAACCACTTCCTCCTTCTGTATATAGTCCATGAGTTTGCATTTGTTAACTGAACCTATGGAAGGACTCTGCGAAAGACAACAAAGACATGGAATAAAAAGGACTCAGAATCAAACTCATGTATAGAGGAAAAACATTATTAGCTACAGAGGGAGAAGAAACTTAACGTTAGGAGCATTGTCCTCTGGAATGAGACATGCTGTTGCAACAATATAGTGATCAGAATGCCATGCAATCATTTCGCCAACTGCATCCTCCAAAGTAAACATATTCTGTGCAGGGCGCCATAAAAAGGTGTCTGCTTTTATTGCAGTTTCAACTAAAACCTTCACCGCGTGAGGCCCTAAAGGAATCCCATTAACTAACTCATCAGCTTCAGCTGAAACGACCCGTCCCTCAGCTACTTTATCATCGACAGAAGCCCAGTCAACCAGATAACACTTGGGAAGTGATCTGGTATTATTTACACTCTACATGAAGAACAAGCAATGTCAAACCAATTCATATATACAATTCATGAGATAGAGTAAGGCAGATGAAGTAAATTCATACCTGGTATTCACTGACATCAGTTGCA